GCCGTAAAACAATAAGACACGGTATGACCTCTCATGCTCCCAAAGTGCTGTCTAATACACACAAAGTTTGCAGACTATCAAGGATCAAAACCTCTACCAATCTACAACTAATTACAAAACTCTAAGCATATATAAGTAAATATTTCTAAGCATAAATGACAATCAACAATACAAACTCTAACACCTGGTTTTAGTTAACATGTTTAGCTTCAATAGGATATTTTACACCAGACTTTTGAAGCTCAGCGTTGCTGCCAGACTTCAGCGAAGAGCACCAAATCAGTGACCATCTTCAAAATTAGCTCCCAGACTGTTTGTCAACATTCAGTTAATTTCAATGTGGGTATGATACAGAGGAAGTTATGACCTGCCATTGTGGCCAACATCTTGGGGCTTTGTTACTTATAAACAGTCACGTTTCTCCCCCAGGCACACTCTTCTATAGGGGTGCATCTAGGTTTTACTGTAAGACTCAGTCAAATGAAAAAGGCATTCCCCTCCTACCAGGCTGCCACAGCAGACAATATATTCACAGTGAAAGGGGTACAAAAAAATACAGCTTCACAAAGCTATTTACAACAGTAATGTTCTAGCGCCAGACACACATCAAGTTATACTTACAAATAAATCAATTTGCTAAGTTATCAATCAGAGACACTCAAAGTAGCAATCGGAAACACAGGCTAATTGTTGTGTGGTGGACACCAGGAGAGAGGGAGCCAGATGGCTGTCATCTTGTGGTTAAGTACTGGTTGATCAACCAATTATCCAATCAATCCAATCACTCAGCAGGCACTAGTCTCCATTAAGACACACCCATCTCCACACCTGAGAGAGAGCAGAAAGAAAAACCCACAGCCATCCTCTGGTGGGAGGAGTCACACACACACGCACGCATGCATGCACGCACGCACACACACATATGACCCACATGATCTTGGGTCATAACATTATATGCTATGATAAAAAGTCAGTGTTAAATTGATATGCAGTGTATACTCTGTGACTATGTGGGGGTTACAGTGTGGTCACTATAATAGTATGGCTGCTGTTTTTGGTTTTTTTAATGACTATGACAGCTTCTATAGGCATGTTTTTTCACACTGAATGAAAGCTGTAAAAATATGAAAATCACTTTGACTGCAAAGAGGGATGAGTTTTTCTTCTTTTTTTTTAAGCAGACTGATCTTTTTACAGTCTACTGACAGAACAGGGTTGCATCAAAAGTCTATGTAATTAGCATGAGTTAACATACAAAATCTGGAATAAATGTTATTGTATTAGTCCACTATATCACTTCTGTTTGGCTACAGTAAGATCATTTATTTGTGTAATAAAAAAATCACCTTGTAGAATATCTAAATAAGGAAATAAAATAAAATGTAAATTTTAAGTAAGTCAACCTATATTTTCTATGCCTGACTTACAGGTAAAGGTAGAAGAAGGAACCAGGAAAATACTATATATGCGGTTCCTGAGGTAAGCATATTTTTTTTACCCAAAGAGAAGAAAAAAAGCTCCCACTTTGCTAGTCAAGCTGTAGGAACAAATGGTTTAATTGTGAGTAATTAAATTATTGAGAAACTTTTTTTCTGAAAAAAATCCTTTTATTTTAAACTGAGCTGAAATCCACACTTATGAATTTCATAAGTCTACAACCATATACATGATCAAACACTATTTCACAAACTACTTTCTAAAATCAACACCATTTCATTTCTACACCAACTGTTCCATCTAGTCTGCTGATACAGATCCAACCTCATGCTTCTTCTTGCCACATTTAGACATCACTGTTTGTGATATTTTCTTCCTGGGTTATTATTGTATAAACATGTAAGATAAATATTACATTTTCCTAACAAAGCACTTTTGATTTATTTCCAGGAGGTCACTCAAGGCCAGACTCAAAGTCAGACTCCCTCAGGACATGAATCATGTAATTCTCCAACATCTACTTATGCTTTGGTGGAGTTTCATACTGGACAAAAATTGACTAAGATTGAAAACATCCCCCAGCCAGAGACGGTGTATGCTCAGGTTGACAGAGCTGCAAAGCCCAATTCTACAGTCCAACAACAAACACCCAGACCTGAAGAAAATCAATAACTGTATTTATAATGATGTACCATATGTGCAAAGTGTGGGTGTTCATTTTACTGTGACCGAGAGAGGAACATTTTAATCAAAAGGCATATGTCTGTTCAATCACATGTAGCTCAGTTTAGATATGAGAGGCTGGTTGGTGAGTGATATTGTGGACTAACTTAAAGATAGCTCAATTTTTTAAATCTTAATTTGAATTCACAGAGCTAGTTAGCCCAATTTTGTTGAATCATGAACTCTGACCTTTAAAGAGACATGTGAAGCTTGGAGTTCTTTAATTTTGTTCTAGGTTCTTTTGTGACATCTTTACTCCTGCTGCCTGGTCAGTGTGCTCTGACAGTAATATTGGTCGGCTGGTCACTCCTGGGAAGATTCAGCACTGCTCCAAGTTTTCTCCATTTGTGTATAATGGCTCTCACTGTGGTTCATCTAGTCTCAAAGTATTAAAAATGGCTTTGTAACCCTTTCCACACTGATAGATGTCAGTGATTATGCTTCTCAGGTGTTTCTTTACATTGTAGCATGTTTTGTTGCTTTTTGAGATCTTAGCATGCTTCAGTTTGGCATACTGCTTCTATTTAAGACAACCAGCAGGTCTGCCACTAATCAGGCCTGAGTGTGTTTATTGACACTGTATTCAGCTTTCCAAAAATGGATTAGCATTACCTGGATATTACTTAACCTTTTAGGCAATAAGACTGTACTTAGTTTTTCACAGGCCTGCATAGAGGCCTGTGAAAAACTTTTATTTTCACATGAATATGTACTTGATATTTTGAGCATTTACACCCTAGTAACATCCATGTGACATGACTAGATGGAGGAAGTATCATGGTTGTGGGTCTGGTGACCCAGTGTTCATGTGTTTTTGAGTTGTGTTAATATTCTTTGATTTAGTGTCATTTGTGATTTTACTTCTCTTAAGTGTTTTGTGCTTATTTGCTTATGGTATAGTTTCTGTCCCTGTGTTTCACGTTTCTCGTGTCTCCGTGTTCCATGTTCCCTCTCTGTCTCTCCAGGTCAGCCATGCTCCCATGTTTGTCTCTCTCTCCTGTTCTCATTGTATATCTTTGTCTGGATCTCCTTATTTGTTGTGCTTCCTGTTTTATTTTGATAGTCCGTGTCCTATGTTCAGTGTATTTAGTTATGCCTCCTCTTTGTGTCATTATGTCACATTTGTCCCAGCTGTGTTCCCACCTGTTCCCCATCCTCTCGTTATCCTGCCTGTGTATTTAATTCTTCAGTTTTCCCCTGTTTGTTGTCACGTTCTCCACGTTAGCTGTGGATTCTTGTCCCAGCTTCCAAGTGCAAGCGCCTTAGTTCTAGTTTCTATCTGTTTCCCTTAAGAAGGGCTTCTTTATAGCATCCTTTCTACTGAGACCACTTACACATAGTTACATTTATTTTAAATTACTAGGGTAAGGTTAGGGGTTGCCACCTCGGCATGCAGTCAAGTCTTGCTAATGACCTACTAATTTTATTCAGGTGTGTTGCATGTTAAATATCAACACTTCAAGTTCTTTTGATTCCTCACAGGCATCCGATGAAAGACAAAACACTGCTCAGTAGACCATTTCACACTTTATTCTCTTACACAATTATTTCTAGAAGGGAGATGCGTCCTGCATGACACGTTGCCGCGGGTCTCAAAATGGTGGTGTGCCCCTAACGGTTTTATTACAGAAGCTCTCTCATTCTAGTCTAAACAGCAGTGTCTCAGTAACTTTCCACTTGAAGATGGTCCCCTGTTATCTACTTTTCTCCCTGGCAAGCATGAGCAAGAGTCTATAGCATTCCACTCCACAAGGACACATAGTCTAATGCCTTTATTTTTCAGGGCTGTGTCCACTTAATACTATACTATATAACTTTATTAATAAAAAGCATAGCATTTTTGAGGCACTTCAAATAATTTAATCCCAACATGCAGCAGGGACACATTTAAAAGTTTCAGGACACCGGCCCTCGAGGACTGGAGTTTGACACCTCTGTTTTAAGAAGAAACTCCGCAACATGCTGAAATATATCAGGGTTCTGGCTATTAATTCTTGGGTAACCTCCATATCGTTTTCAAAATGCTATTTGATGCTTATCATACTTTGTTACTGATGTTTTTCATAGGTTCTAAAGGGATATGAAGAAATAGTTTTGATACTGGCTTCCAGCTAGAAACTGCTTCAGGATACAATTTAAAATTGACTTGTTGACTCTTTGTAAAGTAGTCTGTTAGGTGTCAACACAATACTGGTTCATCCCTCAAGTTAGATGTCTTTTCTATCCTTGAATGATTCAGTCACTGTTAAATAGCTTAATGAATTTACAAAGAAAAAGAAAAGGAAAAAGGTTTTCCTCTGAAAATATTTAGGTACAAGGACTGGACTGAAAATGAACCACAAACTCATGTCAAATTATTATACTACAACCTTCCATTTTATCTTGTTCCACAATTTAATTATGTTATTTTCATACCTTTTCTCTCAGTGCAAAGCAACAGTGCCACTATCTAAAACAACAACAAAAAAACAAAAACAAAACAGAGGCTTTATTTCATATTTCCAAAATTCTGAATTAATTTTCTCTCAGAAAAGCTCAATTTTACTGCTTTAAATGAGTGGAAAGTTATTTGAGTTGCTCTCTATTCACCCATTGATAATCATTTCTGTTTTCATGGGTCTATGTTTCAACACCTCTTGCATTTTCAGCTTAGTCTGAATGTTTGACAGATGTATGACCTACTGCCCTCTGTTGGTGACACTGAAGTAACGTCACATCATCAGCAAGTCTATACACTTTCTGACTTCTCTTTGGCTCCCTCTTTCCTTTTTCTTGATCTGCTCCCCATACATTAATAACAGAAAAAACAAAAAACAAAAAAACACAGAGGTTTATAAAAAAAACAAAACAAAAACAAAAAACAAAAGCTGGTCAGTGAACCAATACGGAACCGAAATGAGAAGCTTGAAATGACCCACAAGTGTGGTTTGACAAACTTTATGTAGACACTAAAGCTGTTGTGCCAAAATGTCTTACGAAGGAGGATGGTTCTTTAGATACAAGGGGGGAGCAAGCGAGTCAGAAACCCAGGGCACAGAGATGTAGGTCCGATCAGAAACAGTTTATAGGGCAGGGAACAAGAACATAAACACTTCTAAAAAACATAAGCAATAAATTGTTCCCAATATGCTAAAAGTCAGCTCTGGAAATTGGAGAGCGGCCTGCTCATCTGCCTCGTCCCAGGCAGATGAGGAGGAGCCTCCTATCCCCCTCTCGTCCCTTCACTGGGCCCATCACATCCCAGCCCAGCTCACATGCTTGATGCCACCACGGGTCCCCTCGCGTCATCGCCCTGTAAATAAACAAATAGGGGCCAGAACCATTGTCCTGGAAGCAGCCCTGGCCTATTGTCATGGTGACCCTCGCCCAGGTCCTTTAAACAGCTGATAGGCCACCTCTGGACACACCCATGCCTTAGCAGGTGATCCCTTTCAGCTAATTTGTCCCATGCCCAGCCAATCCACAGTGGATTAAAAAATGTCAAATAACACACTAAAAACATGCAATACAAACAGAATAAAATCATGCAAATAAAAACGACACTCCTAAATAAACAGTAAAATCAGAATAAAACCAGTATAAAAGATAAATACAAGTTTCCACTGTTTGACAATTATGCTACCTTCTTCATTGCTCAGTTGAGAGAATCATGACTGGTTCATTTCCTGGTAAAAACCCAAACATGTACTGTAATAGTTCAATTAAATGTAGCACTACAACTGAAAAGTAGACAAAGCTGATACGTTTTGTGTTCA